TGGCAGGAGGCCTTGCCCTGCTCCACTGTCCCCGCAGCCCACTCCAGGGAGGAATCAAAATTCTTGATCTGCTTTCTGGTCGTTTTTGCAGAAGTCGGGCGCTTACCCTCGCTTGAGTTCTCCTCGTTTTCTGCTAGCTGTTTCTGGGCTTTTTCGGTAACTGGGAGTAGTCGGAGAAGCCTGGGCCGGGATGTGGTGGTGTGCTTTGGTCCTGTCTGTGGCTTCAGATGGCGGAAGGTGGTTGCTTTCTGTCTCTGTGAGGCCACACTCAGGTGTCTGATGGTGACAACGGCACCCCCATATTTAGCACAAAATTTTTCTCTCTAAAATGAACTGAAGCGATGATCGCTGAGAAGTCTGCAAAGCAAGCATCAGAACAGATACGCGAAAACAGCCTTTGCAGTACACCTTTCACAAAACTTCCTATTTTTGATCCAGCCTTCCCCTTTTGTGCCTAACCAAAATACTGTGTTTTGTTTTTTCTTCCTGCTACTAGTCTTTTAGGAAAAGACTCACTTAGGAAAGTGACTAATGTCTGCACTGGAAATGCTTGTAAAGTTCACATCTTTTTCTTTGAAACTTTTTTTGTAAAACTGTTTTAGCACTCTGATCCCATAACAGTTAAGAGCAACCTTTCTGCAGACTCAGCTGTGTGTCCAGTCAGGCTGCTGGTATAAATTGTGGTGCTCTGTTTGTCCTTGGGGTTATCCACAGAGGGAAGACAGGCCCTGGCAAAATCAGTAAGCTTAATGTTGGTGTAAGAACGTGCTCCTGTCAAAAAGCTGCAGGAATATAATGGGGAGGATGGCCAGGTTTACCCATTGTAATAGGTCACCTGTCACTTTATTAAATAAAAATAGATTCATCCTGTGGAATCCACTTCTCTTGGATAAGAGACTTCAGGAACAAAAACTGTTTTCACTAAGTGATCTTTATTGTGACCAATATGTATGAGTTCTGTTTAAGTTGACAAAATTGCTTCATCTCTATATTCTAGGTGAAGATCTTTGCCCCCAATATTGAGCAAAGGGATGTAGTCAATCATCTAAAAGGAAGTCCAACAGAAGAGAAAAGAAATGTGTTAGTTGAAAGTGCCAGATTGGCAAGAGGAAACATTCAGGATTTGGCTGAACTGAAAGCTAGTGAATTCGATGCAGTCATTTTCCCTGGTAAGAGCTTTTAAAAGAAAATAATGTGTGGTTTTTCAGTTGCAAATAACTGCTTTGTCTCTGTTACTTTTTTATTTTTAAATTTGTTTAGAGAATAAATTATATACTCTTGAATTTGAGAGGTATGTGGTTTTTTTCTTTTTTACTTATTTTCTTTTGAGGATGAGAAAATGTTTTAGTGAGCTCTCATGGGTTGACAAGCCATTGCAGTTTGTTTATTAATTTATAGTTCATTAATTTAGAACACCAGAATGTTCTTTTGGTGTTAGGTCATACATTGCACCATTCCTTCTTTTTAAAGATTGTGAAAACTTTAATACCTACTTGCGGACAAGAACACTGATCAGAGCAATGCCTTATTTTTAGGGCCTCTGAAATTGTTGTCAGAATAGTAGATTGCTAAGTGGATTGTATTCCCTGTCAAATGTCAGAACATTTTGTTTTAATTATGTATCTGGTCTGCTGCTGATGAAGTTATACTAAATATGTTTACAGATAATTTTTTATTTATAGACCGCAAAATTGCGTTTGAGACAGAGGTAATTATAATCACTTCAGAAATGAAGAAACCAAAGCATCACGAGGAAATTATGACTTGCTGAAGATCACTTTCCGGAATATTCATAGTACTGTTAAATACTGCTTTCACAATTATGCCCAAGCGTTAATTTTGAAGTTATTACAGTGTCTTCTGTTGTAAGGCCAGCAGAGGGAGTGTGTGTATAACGCAGAGAAACACACTTGCAGAGCTAAAATGAGTGGGTGACATCAGGACTGATCACGGAGTAGAGGCTAGCAAATATTTTCCACGTTAATTTCATGCTGTTAAAACTCAGGCTCAGGGGGGTTGCTGTAATAACTATTAGAGGGAAATAAACCCTATTAAGTTTTAAAATTAAAATCTTACCTCAGAGATTCCAGATAACACTTGAAAGTGAACAAAGAGTGAAAGGAAAATATTAAAAATGCAAAGCTTCTTGATGTTGTCCATTGAAATACTTGCGGAAATTTCTGTTTGTTTATGGTAAAAAAGTTGATGTTGTGCACATTCCATAAGGAATCAAATATAATGGATTGTTACACTTTATTAATAACCTTCTTTCTTTGATTATTCTGATGGTTATAAATCTGACTAACAAAGGTGCCGTAAAATATAATCTGCTTGTACAATTAAACAAAGGTTAAATGCAAGTAAAGGATTGTTATAGCTAATTTATAGAAACATAAATTCAGCATTATTTTTGATAGAAAATTATGTTATCATTCACAAGTGCTGTGTCTCAGCATATTGTATGTTATCAATTCCTTTTCATATAATATCCATTTTGTTTTTATTGTGTTAACCTTTTTTTTTTTTTTTTAAATCCAAAAAGAATTCCAGGTCGGGGAAAAAGCTGTCTTGTAATTGCTTAAATATTGAACAAAACTTCAGAGTGAAATTACTGTAGAGGGTCAAATCACTGTTTGCATTACTCTCATGAACTGCACTCTCTACTTTTAACTGTTGTTGGCCTTTCTTCTAAACTCCCCTCTTGCTTATCAAGGGGTGCATATCAGATGGTGCAGCTTTTCCAGTCACTAGCAGATGAATGTGAGGTTTCCTATTTCTCTATTTGTTACTAATTGAAGTCAGATTAAGCTTTCTGGCCTACGTAACATACGTGGTATAAAAAATCTGCAGTTAAACTTTTAACATTATAAACCCATCATGTTTCATGTGCTGAAAGCTTTCAGTGTAGTAACTTATGTTACTATACGTCCTACTTATGCCATGATTATATTGTAAAAAAGGAGAACTTCTTTCTAGTGTTGAATGTAATGGCTTTTAGCAGTGTCCTACATTTGAGCTTTTGTTTTATTGTTGGTTTTTGGGGTGTTTTTAGGTGGCTTTGGTGTAGCAAAGAACCTGTGTTCCTGGGCTGTAGATGGCAAGAACTGTACTGTCAATGAGCACGTAAGCTCCACACTCCAAGCTTTCCACACTTCCAAAAAGCCCATTGGTTTGTGCTGTATATCACCAGTCCTGGCAGCTAAAGTCTTTCCTGGTTGTGAGGTAACAGTCGGCCAAGATAAAAACGTAGATGGAAGGTAAGAAGGAAATGGATGGAGGTAATTTACATGGGAATAGGATTAGGAAATGGACAGTCTTCTGTGCCTAAGTCTGAGGTCTCTGGTGCCAGTAACCTTTGGGTAACTTATTAGTGATGTTTTTCACCTATTTCAAATACTCACTTGCATAGTAATAGTAGGTGCAGAACTCCAAGGGCAGACAAATCCCCTGACCTTACAGATTCAGTCTGTGCACTACAATGTTGGAACAATTTATTCCTAAATTCAGAAATACATTGGTCTGTGATATGTTCTATAATATCAATATCCACAGACACGTTACAGTTAATCATAGAATCCTAGAATAGTTTGGGTTGGAAGGGACCTTTGAAGGTCATCTAGTCCAACCCCCCTGCAATGAGCAGGAACATCTTCCACTAGATCAGGTTGCTCAGAGCCCCATCCAACCTGACCTTGAATTTCTCCAGAGATGGGGCATCTACTACCTCTCTGGGCAACCTCTTGCAGTGTTTCACCACCCTCATTGTGAAAAATTTCTTCCTTTCACCTAGTCTAAGCCTACCCTCTTTCAATTTAAAACAATTACTCCTTGTTCAATTGCAACAGGCCCTGCTAAAAAGTCTGCCCCCATCTTATAAGCCCCCTTGAAGTACTGAAAGGCTGCAATAAGGTCACCACAGAGCTTTCTCTTCTCCGTGCTGAACAACCAACTTTCTCAGCCTGTCCTCACAGGAGAGGTGTTCCATCCCTCTGATCATTTTGGTGGCCTCCTCTGGACCCTCTCCAACAGGTCCGTGTCTTTCCTGTGCTGAGGACTCCAGAGCTGGACGCAACACTCCAGGTGGGGTCTCACCAGAGCGGAGTAGAGGGGTAGAATCACCTCCCTCAACCTGCTGCTGGCCATGCTGCTTTGGATGTAGTCCAGGATACGGTTGGGCTTCTGGACTCTG